CAAAAGGACAAAAGAATGAGGAATACAATAAAAACAATAGGTTTGTGAGGCAGTGTTCTATTGTGACTTGTCCTGTCTTTTACACCAAGGAACCAAAATTATTATTACCTTGCATAGCAGACAAAATCAAGACTTAAGAGGGAAGACAACAGGAGAATGGGAGATGAATGCATCATTTTGTCCTTTCGCCTTTATGCAATGACATGTGCACACGTATGTCGAAAAAAGAAAGCACCGGTAGCCTTATTATTTTGGCTAAATTCACCGTCAGCATCGTATCACAATCATGTTCTGCATCTAGCTTACAGTAGTCAGTGTTGGTGATTGTGCCCGTAGTCACTTCTCTGTGCAGCTTTTGTCTAGTCAGTCACATACAGTGATTTTAATCAACTGGATCAGCTTGTGCCACAATAATTGCAAGGTGGAATTGAACTGAAATTACAGTCACATTAGTTAAGACTCCTCTGTACACTTTGAGGTTTGTTTTCCATTCCTTACAAAAGGCTCTCAAAAGTTTCTTGGAACCGCTGTATATCACCATTTTTACAGGTGACTGTGTGGCTGACCAAGTTTTGCTTTTTTGTTCCCATAAGGAAAAGAGACATACTAGGGAGTTTTCAAAATCATTATAAATGATGAAGTAATCTGGCAATTACTTTAATTGGTTTGGGTTTAACTATGGTTTAAGATTGGCTGAGTAGTCTAATTGGTAGGTAAATTATTTGGTTTTGGTTTTACTTTTACAACACTCGATTGAAAAATGCTCTAGTATTAAAGCAAAAAGGGATCAATTAGAACAGCTGATACATGAAGCAATTTAATTGCAATGTGTACCAAGTATAAATTATTACAAGTCTAGTCAACTCTACAAGTTTTTTTTTTGTTGTTCATAATCTGAAGACATATCAAATACTGGATCACAAAATCAGCCAAATATACCTTGGGGATTTAATTTCCTAGTCACAAAAGCAGAGTTTTTCAAGAATTTTTCTTGTTTTTCACTTTCTTTGCTTCCAGGCACTTTTATATTAACTATCACGCTCATTTTATTCTCAATATTACCGGTACTAGAAATATCTAGAAAATTATGAAAACTATGAAAAAAGTAAGGCTTGTAAAGTAATAAGCACTGTGATTAAGAATCACTTTCAAATACACCTCCTTTGTTAAAAAGCAACCAAAACTAAATACATACATTATCCTGTTAGTATAAATAATTTTCTATAACTGCTGTCTTAAGGAAAAATTTGGCCTAAAATCCTGATTTGATCATGTCCTTGATTCTTGTAATCTGCCTACTTGGGTTTGTTAAAAAAGATAGTGAGAAGTTAGGACTTAATCTTTGCTAGGGGTTAAAGGGTTAAATTTTAAAGAAGCTTCACTTTACAGTTACAACATGCAAGCCTTGTTTGGTCAAGACAAATATTTTTCTATTAGAAGCTTGAAGCCCAAGGATTTCATTATCTGGAGAAGTTAATGTAACAACTTGTTGACTGGCATGTTTAGCTCCTCCTTCAGGTTGTAGGTAAACATAAACATGTCTTGTGCAGTCGCATAAGGTAGCAAAGGACATGTCTGGGGCACAGGTTGAGAACTTGCGATCCCTTTTAGCTGCTTGGACGTAACCAAGTGCATTAAATGTTCCAATGTGAGTCCAGTTAGCCTCACGGTCAGCGTGTGCCTTAGGCTGCCACAGGAGGGCATCAACATCATGGCGTATACAGAAAGCAGGAGGAAGCCTGTGGTCTAGGGATGCATTGAAGATCCACTGATGACTTGCTAAACAAACCTGGAAATGACATATGGTCAAGTCTTACAAGTAATGGTGTCATACTAGGGTGCTAACCATTTAGTCAAAAAATCTGGAAACTTCGGTTGAAAGGCAAATGAACAGCAATTTTCCAGAAAATCCATTTGGAAATTATAGACTACGTCCAGAGGTATTCCTCTTTCCATTCAGAATGGAATGGCTAAAATTTCCTTACCAAAACTTTCTACTTTCTAGTCTCTCTTCAGCTAAAATACTTTCAGTAAATCGAATTGTAAATGGAAAGCACCATCTTGCTCAGTTGGTTTGCTCATTTTTGGAAAAAACCCTTACCATTATTCAATGGTCATCCCAACCACTTCATTCTGACAAATAGTAAGCACCCATAGTTCTTTGTTTTCCCAAATGCAACTACTTGTTTAATTTATTTAACCCAAATATGGGAACCTCATATGGGAACACTTACTGTGCAGTCCAGTCAAGGGTAGACTACAGTAATGTGTTTTATCAGTCCCTGCACTTCTCTAATAAGTTACTACAGTATGATGCATTGGGAGATTATTTTAAGATTAGAAGCCTTACCTTATGTGTTACTTCTCCAGTTTTAACATCCAGTCTGAAGATGTATTCAATA